GGATTGTACTAATAGCTTTTAATTAGGAAAAAAAGTAATTTACCTAATATTATTATTAGCTGAAATGATATTAACACGTCGAATTTTATCTGGACTAACACCAAGTATAGCAGCTAGATTAACAGTTAAATTTGATGAAAAAAATGATGATGGTGTTTGTGGTGGTAAATTAAAATTCAGTATAAGTAATTGAGATATTTTTAAATCAATTACAGTAATACCATTAATTAAAAATAATTCCATTCTTGTTGTTCTAAATTAAAATAATCGAATAAAATATTTACAAAAAAAAAATATTTAAACTTTATTTTACCTATTAAAATAATTTGAACCAGGTATTGATGTAAATGTTATATTATTTGATTGATCAGTTAATATTAAATAACTATAACTAAAATCACGATTTATTGGTGATACATAAATATTATTAGCATAAACATCAATTTGTTGTAATGAATCATAATAAAGTGCTAAAGTATTGACAATTGATTCATCACTATTAAGTAATCGAAAACGTATATGATTTGGTGTTGTACTTGAAAAATATATATCATAATGATGTTTTGATTGTATTATTGACATAAATGTTGATATACGTTTTTGACATGTATATCCATTACACCAACCATGATCTTGCGGTCCATTTATTAAATCAATATAACCATTATCAGACATAATAGCTACAGGTGAAAGACGTCTTGTTTCTGTATCTGAATCCATATTTTCAATAATTAACATTCGATAATCAGTTGTATTTGGACAAAAATACATTTGCCATGATGATTGATAAATACATGTTGGTGCACAACTAATACCACGATAAGGATATGAAATATTTATATTTATCATATAACCTGTAAGATTTGCTAATGCCACTAATGGAATACGATAATCACCAACACCATGTTGTTGATCACCTTTAAAGATATAAATCGACAGAAAAAAAAAATAAAATAAAAACTTCATAAAAAATACTAAATTACCCCAAAGATACTCAGCTTGGGAAACAACACTTGCTGCTTGACCAAATAATGTTCCATCAGTATCAATAAGTAAATTTTTTTTTAAACCATCACAATCCATATCTAAATTTTTATCGAAAATATCAAACTAAAATAAAAAAAGAATAAACAATAGACTTACCAACACAATCACTTGGATTAACAACATCAAGATTTGGTCGTCCATTAAATATCAAATTCATTTGCGATGTATTATATACTGATATTAAATTAGTTACTATTGGATGTTGACCATCATCATTATGTTGTCCAACTTGAATAGCTATATCACGACGTAAACATATATCATTATAAAATGCTAATATTACGTTTGTTATTGTCATTAAACCTTGAACTAAAAATATGATATGATGATCATATTATTTTTGTTATTTGCATTTTTTTATTTAACTTACTGCATGGATAAGCAGCAATACCAGTCCATGGATGACGTGGCATTAAATTATCACGTGAAAAAAATGGAAAGACAATACCTGATCGACCACCAGAATTTCCATTTGATGATGTAGCTGATACAGTTGGAATAGCTTTGTCACTATTTATAAAATTGACTGTCGTTGCATTAGGAGTATCATTACAATCGTCAGGTGTTATAGAACCTATAATCATTGAATTAAGAATTATTACTGAATTATTACCAGCTACATGAGATTGAGCTAAAAAAAGTAATCGATACATAGAAATTGAATAATTTATGAAATTTATTTTCAAAAGATTTACCTGTAGGACCGATAACCAATGTAAATATCCCAACATTACCATCGGCTACTGTACAAGAGTCAATAATAATATTGCGAGCTGTATTGATATATAGACCATAATACCATGCTTTATAAGTTCTATTGCAAAACAAAAATAGATAGAAAATAAATAACTTGGAAAAATTAATGAACTTACTTGAAACCATAGATCAATATACAATCTAAAATAAAATCAATGAAATTTTCATTATCATATCATAATTTGTCTTAATAACTTACTCAAATCATACTGAAAACCTTTATCCTTTGGCCAAATACTAACACCAGACATTGCTGAATGAACTTCATTGTTTGAATAATCATTACTTATATCATTTGGCAAAATAGTTCCCGAACACGAATTTCCTTGAATACGATAAGCTAAACGTTCTACACCTGCTATCAAATTGTCCTAAACATTATTATTATTATTGTTTATCATTAAACTTAAATAAAAAACAAAACAACTTATACCCTCATAATTACACTAATAGCATCTCTTGACATGATAGCTCCATCATTATTATTATTGAATTCTGCTAATTTTGGTTGAGCTGTACCCGACCAATAAACAGTTGAAACAAGATTTTTTTCTATAATATTATTTTTTCCTGTTACAACAATTGCTGATTCATAAGTTTTATAAACAACATTATTTGTTATTGGAATACCATGTGTTTCCCATACACCAATTCTTGAACAAACACAAAAAAAAAAAATTTTTTACATCTTAAAAAAAGATAAATTTAAGTATAACTTACGCTGAATAATAACCTCCATCAAATGAACATGAATCAATATATGTTGGTCGAGACGAATTCCAATTACCAAGATTATATATATGAATACCTTCACGTTTATCTTCATCAACTGCATCAACATATTGACCATAACCAATAAATTGTGTATTAGATAATCGAGCATAACCTTTATAATATGTATACATATAGTCACTTGTTACTGGATTCCATATATTTGCTGCATAATCAGTAATAAGAATTCGAAAACCAAATAATTCCGAAGATGGACTTCGATTAATTACACGTATATTTCGTGTTAAAAGACCAACAGTACTCGCTATATGAAATATCTTTCCATTAGGAAATACATTATGAATAACGATATGTGTATAAACAAGAGGATTAACTGTTATGATTATTGTTTTATCTATACTGATATTTGCAATTGTATGTCGTTCTGTATGTTCAATATTTGTATCTGTTGTTGTTAATATAATTTCATCACCAATTATCCAATCAACTGGTTGACTTAATGTAATCGAATTTTGACCAGATGATGCTGTTGTAGCAAGGCGTGTCCATGATACATTATGTTTTAGGCCATGTAAATCAAGACCACCTAAAACACCGATTACTTTCGGTCCAATAGATCCAGCATCATTAGGTAATAAAACATTAATTGATGAAGAACCATTAATGATAATATCAACTCTGGAAGTAAGTGGTTTATTCGGCCAACCTATTGAAATGATATTTTAATGAATTCAACATAAGAAATTTATTACTTACCAACAATCAATTGACCACCATTAATTAGAATACTATCAACAATAAGAGTATTATCAATATTCTAAAAACAAAATGAAAGAGTTCTTGTTTTGATTAAAAGAAAAATCAAACAAAAAAGAAAACAAACTTGTTCAAATTCAAGTACACCATCAATACGTAATGAATGAATACGAGGTAATGGATAATTCACAACAAGCCATATACCACGAGGAATATATATATTTGTGTCATTACCAGGTTTGACACTTCCTAATGTCGGACAGGAAAAGAAAAATAAAAATAAAAAAAATCTATTCATCAATTAAATATCAATTACCATATCCACCATAGCCTTCTAATGCAAATGACCAATCTGAATCATTTGACCAATACAAAGCTCTAGTTGATCGAACAGTTGCAGGTAATTCAAGACCAGGTTGTGGTGGTGATTCGCAATTAGGATATCGACATTTAATTATATTTAATGAAATTGATACATCAATTGAGACGGTATTTGATGATGGATTTTTTACTAGATAAAATAACAAAATTATATTAAATATAAAACATAATAACAGAAAATCTTTACCAATATAAGAAAACATCGATGTATTTGTATTATAATACCAATCACCATTGTTACTTGTAGAATCATTAAGTGGTGTATTTGATTGACTAAATACTAATGAACTTGAAATTGTATAAACAATATCAGGTTTATAATCAATCTTATGACATATAATAAGATAATCACCAGGTTCTAAACCATAAGCAATACCTGAATAAGATAAATTGACTGAACTCTAATAGAGAGAATAATTTTTTCAGGATATTATCTAAATTATTAAAGAAAAATATAAACTTACATTAGCATTTTGAAATTGAAATAAATAAATATTTTTAGCTAATAATGTCATCATATAGCCCATTGGATGTGTAAGTCGTTTAGCAAGATTAAGTACAATAGTATAATGATTGAATTGATCATAAACATTTAAATATTCACCATTTTGTCCTAAACTAGCTTTATTAAAAGCAAATCGTATCCATGTACCTAATGATGATGGACATGTAATAGCATTGATAAAGTTCGGTGTTGTTCTGCATGCATTTGACGTATTCAAAAGACCATCAGGTGCAAGAATTATTGCATCAGATACATTAGATAACGAACCATCTTCATCTTGATATAAACCATCATATGGCCATCGAAAATGACCTCGATTGGCTACATTTGTAAATGATAATTGAGAAAATTTAGTTAACCAACCTTATATGAAATACAGAAAAAAAAGAAGCAAATACTTAACAATAACAATAAAAAAAAAGCAATTGATTTTTTTTCTTATACCTCCACAGTATACGATACAGCGACCAGTAATAAATGGTCCATAAATAGCTTGTGTATTTGAACTTGGAAAATTGATAAATGAAACATTTCGTACACGAAGACCACGATCCCACATAACTGTAAGAAGAAAAATTACGCAGATGATTCTATTTATTTTCCTTAAATATAAAAGTTTACCAATAAGACCACCTTCTGTTGGTACGATTGGATTTCCTGATACTCCTGAATCACCAATTACGATTGAATTAATTACTGATGAACCTTTATTTTCATTATAAAATGTAGCACGAAGATTTGGCAGATTTGTTGCTTGATGATTAATAGCAGTAACGCATCGAAGACCCGTATCAGCATTATCAAAAATAATTGCGTTTCTTATTTGAACTGAACTTGACATAACCCATTCAAAACCTCTAGAATTTTTCCATGATGTTAATCTATCAAATATTGCTTGATATGGTGCATCATTCCAACAATTACCCGCTATTGTTGGTGAATATTCAGGAAAGATCCAAACACCAAAACGACCAACACTGTGTACACTATTGTTAAAAAATCGACCAAATGGTTGTCGATAGGGACAATAATTTGAATACATTGCAAATGATGGTCCATCAGGTGTTCGAAGCATTCGATACCAATAACCAAAATGAGTACCACCAGCAACAGCATTATTCACGACGATATTATTCGGATTGGTTACCTAAAATTCGAAACTTTTGTACATCTTGAACGAATTATTGATTTTTTTCTTTAGTATTACCCAAAAAGCAGCTGGTGTTACATCTTCATTGAGTAAACTTGAACTTGTTCGAACATAAACAGCTAAATTACCATATAAAACATTACCAGTTTCAACACCATCTTCTAGAAATATTGCTCCACCCCTAAAGAATATCAATTGTATATCATGAAATTGTTTAACAAAACTTAATATGTATATACATACATAATATTATAGATAACATTATTTTCTATGGTGACGTAATGACTTGCATGAATATTAATAGCTCGATTAAATGTTTGATGAATTGATGATGATTTAATATATGATAAATTCATATTCCCATTCATATGAAAATGAACTGGATATCGACCGAGACGAAATGCTTGACCAACATTATATACCTTTGTACAAATAAATTTAAAATAAACTCACTCATATGCAATTAAAATTTACTTCAATATTTGATAAACGCAGTATCGCTCGTTGTATACCATCAAAACTGTAAGTACTAGCACTGACCATAATTGTTGCACCAAACTGATCAGAACCTATATCTTCACCATATCGACCAAGAAAACATGTTTGAACTGCAAATTCGCCTAAATTAAAAAAGAAAGAAATACAATTTTTTTTGTGTAGCCAAATAAAAATTGAGTATTGTTTCTTACCAGGATTGAAACCAGTTGGACATGCTGCAATGGATGTATTCCATGTTTCAGTACTGGAACCTATCATTTTAAAAATAAAAAAATAAAATTATTCACATTGGCCATTCATATCATCGACAAACCTTGAAAGATAACATTATGTGATAGAAGACCCACTTCAGCACGAACTTCAACTGTTGTTGAACCAACGTTTTGTGTTACACCCAAATGAGTATATGTCAATGGTGAATTCAATGTTATTGTATATCCATTGTCTGATACAGCTGTTATTGTACGTATTTCACTTTGTCCTTGACTTAAATAATCGCCTGTAGTTGCAATGACAATTGTACTGCCCACTGACCAATTAACTGCTTGACGAAGAGTAATTTGAGATGAGCCACTAGAAACTGTTGCAGCTAAATGTGCCCATGTTTGTGTAACAGTTTTTCCATGCATATCCACTATGCCATCTCGTAGAGCCAAGACTTTAGCTCCGACTGAAAAATAAATCAATCAATGACATTTTTTATTTTCATTTACAAACATGAAAAACATATCTTACAGATTGGCAATTCAATTGATCTTAAATGACCATACATCGTAATGATAGCTCTATGTTGAAATGGATTTGTTTCATTACCAATTTGGAGACGACCACCATTAACAACCAAAATGTATTCAGCATTTAAACTGACATCTTGATTATCATCAAAAATTAAGGAGGCATTGTCAATAATCACAGCTTTAAGAATAGGAGTTATTGTATCGAAATAAACTGTTTTTCCACTTTCAATTGCAACAATAGTGCCAGCTTCAGGCGGAGTATCACCACCCCATGTCCATGGACTTGACCACAGGTCAATATATTGATATAGAATTGAACCGACTGCATTGCCACCGTTAACCAAATTAACAATCACAGGTGCTTGAATTGTAGTTTCTGAATAACTACCTGTCAAACAGGTTATCATCGTTGATGAAATTGTTTGAACTAAACATGAAATATCAGCAATGCTTACTGATACTGCACTAATTGTTCTGAAATGTTAGAGAGGACATTTTCTTTCATTGAAAAGTTTACACTGAGTTAAAATACTTACGGAAAATTTTCTCCCAAGATTGTTAAAAGTGTACCACCGCCAGTTCCACCTCGAGTTGGACTAATTGATGTTACAACTGCTGTTAAATTTGCTTCATAAATATACGACATACTTTGTGTTAAACTTCCAACAGTAACTATTAGATTACACGTCGTATCTGATGAAGCAATAGTTACCGATGGTGTAATACATGTCATTTGTGTATTTGATACAATAAATAACGATTGACAAGTTTGATTACAAATAGTAACTATAATATTGGACCCACTAAATCCGTCACCGAGAATAGTTATTGTTTGACCACCACCATAACTGCCACGTGAAGGTGTTACATTGCTAACTTGTAAAATATATTGAAATTGGATATTCGAATTTGATTGACCAACCGATGTTACATAACCAACTACTGATTGATTTCCAGCTGGACTTGATCCAATCGTACATGTAATTGATGTTGTTGACATGTTGATAATTGTGCATGAAATACCACCAACTAAAATTTTTGTTTCACCATCAACAAAATTTGTGCCTATAATTGTCAATGTTTCACCAGCACTTCCAGATGTGGGATAAATTGATGTAATTATAGGTGTAATAGCTGAACTATACGTCATTGTAAATATATCAGAAAAAGTTATACCATTTGAAGTAATATGGACTGTAACTGATGATGGATTAGATCCTTGAGCTGGAATTATACATTGAATTTGACCAGGTGTTGTTAGAATTATTATACATCTATTTGAACCCATCGTAACTTGAACATTAGTGATTGAACTAGAAAATCCATTACCATCAATTGTAAGAATTGCACCACCATAGATACTACTGTTTGTATGTGAAACATTTGAAATAGATGATATTGATGTAAGAATTGTTGATGATTGAACTGTTCCGATACCTATAATGAACATAGTTAATAGAAAATATCGAAATATTTTTTCAAAACATTAAAGTATACCATCAATTGATGCGATAATAGAATGAACTCCAACTTGAATACTACCAATTTGACATACAATAGTTGAATTCGATACTGATGTCACATTGCACATTTGTCCATCAATGGTGACATGAATACTAGTAGGCAATATTGTATCATTCATTGCTAGGTTTCGACCAGTCAATGTTAATAATTGTGGACCAGTGATAGATGTTGGATAAACTGAATCAAGATACGGTGTAACACTTTCAGCCCAAGTAAATGAACATGTTTTGGATAATAAACATACAGCTGTATTTGTACCAATCAATATCGTAATAGGAATAATTTGATTAATGTATTCAGGTGGTGATATCTGAGTAGTAAATATTATTTGAGAATAAGTAATTGTTGCCATACTAGTATATTCAATGCTTCCAACAATGATACGAGTATCAGCCGGTATAAATCCATCACCAGTTATTATTACTTCAGTACCACCATAGATAGAACCTACACGAAAATTAATTTTTTTTATAATGAGATTATGTTGACAGAAAAATAACCTTCTATAGGTAATATACTAGAAATAGATGCTTGAAATTGAAATTGTATAAGACCATTATTACTTAGATAGCCTTGACGATCTCGTACAACACGTATATCTTGAATTGTTTTAGCATTAAGTGATGAATTCGAAGCAATTTCACAAACAATTTCTATTGTCGATGCATTTGTTAATGGACACTCATAGGATGAACCAATAAAAATATGATTTTCACATAGTACTGTACTAAAATTTGTTCCTGTGATTGTAATGGATGTACCAGCAATACCTTGTTTTGGTAAAATTGATGTTACTGAACCAATAGTGCATGGTGTAAAAAGAAACTGAAGTGAATTTGAAGTAGGAATCGTTTGTGAACATGAGCTTGGATCAATCCAAGAGCTTGAATTACATGATGACGCTGGTACAGAAGCTAAATATTAACAGAAAAAGAGATTATTAAAATTTTACAATTTAACTTTATCGATTAAATTCCTACCTGACGCCGTACAATAGAGTCGTTGTCCAGTATAATCAAATGTTGGTGAACACCATTCTTGAGTATCATTTACTGTAGTACATGATGTATAATTGATAGAATCATAATTGAATGGAAAAGCACATGATTGAGCTAAGAATGAAAGACAAATGTCCTTGTGTAAAAGAATGATAAAGAAAGTTTACCAGTAAATGTTCCTGATGTAACCTTAACTGTAAGTATCTGTGATTGAGCAGGAATTACTGTTATCACTCCACGCATAGATATTAGACTAGATGAATCAATAAATGATGACCAATAGTAATAAGTATCCACTGTTTGAAATTGATATGAAAACGAACCTATAAAGGAGAAAATGAACCTTAAAGATCTTTTGATAATGAAAGAATCCTGTCGAATTAGGTGACCTATTCAAAATTGAGAAATCAAATATACCATGCTGTAGAGCAAGTCGAGGCGCGTCGAATAGTATACATTAAATCTTATGTTCATGAGACTTTGAAGGAACTACCGTCAATTTACTGATTGACAACTAATTATATTGATCATTGTGCTTCTTGGTATAAGTCAAAATTGTTTGTAAAAATGTTTTTTTTTTGTATACAATTTTGTAGAGCTTTTCACGGACTACAAGTTTATATACTTAACATCACCAATCATTCTATTTTTGTTAAGAAAAAATGCAAGTTTCCAATAGTTTACCACCATTTTTCACTAATGGTGAGTCTCCATATCTCCATTAGTGTCGACCAGAGGAAGATGTGATCAGATGTCAAACTTTCTTAGAAATTACCTGCGAAGTAACACTACAAAACGCATCATTTGGAAGTTCTCTAAGATGAATGCATGATCCCCAAAATAGTCTTACATCGAAAAATTTTAACTAATTTTTTACGTCAATTTTTTTCTTTTGATACTGTGTTTTGTAGTATTACATTGCGGGTAATTTCTGAAAAAGCTTGGCGTCTAATCACATCTTCTATGTTCAACACTATTGAAGATACAGAGACTCATCATTAGTCAAAAAAAGTGGTAAATTATTGAAAACTTTAATTTTTTTCCTGTCAAAAATAGGATGATTAGAAATATTAAGTATATGAGCATCTGGTTTCTGAAAATCTCTACAAAAACATATATAAGAAAATTTTTGTTCACAAACAATTTCGACTGATATCAAGGAACACAATGATCAATAATTGATGATGTTTTAGGTGCATAGTCATTTATTTGGTTTCTCAAATCTGAATAGGTTATCTAATCCAACAGGGTTCTCTGCTTTTTTAGATTGTTTGTTACCAGATGATGTGGTATTTCCTGAATTAAATCCACCAGGTAGTGGTTCTGTATCATAACTATTAGCTACTTGTTGCACTTTATAAGCCAATGTTGATAAAAGAGTTGATGTATTCCATTGCCATTCAACAATAGTACCTTGTTGTACTGTTACATATTGTGGTGACCAAGCAAAACCACTTCCATATATTGGATCAATACCATCTGATGTAATAATAACACGAGATATAGCAGTAGTTGTTTGACAATGAATTTGATCTGATTGAATAGAAATAATAGTGCATGGTTTATTATTATTATTATTATTATTATCATCAGTAAATGTGACAACAGATGAATCATCAAAACCTTCTCCTTGTATATACACATCAGTTCCACCGTATAATGAACCAATTTGTGGTGAAATATTTTGAATATAAAAACGATATTCAATTTGTACTAATGGGCGAGCATAACCATTTATTGTAGAAACTTTAACTGAATAAATACCTGGAGGTAATGAAGGTAAAATAGCAAGAATTTGAGTGGATGATATTGAAATAACAGCTGCCCGTATTGTACCAACAAATACAAAAACTGAACTAGTACTAAAATTTGTTCCATTAATAGTCAATTGACCACCAGTTATGTTCATAACATTAGAATTAACTGATGTAATTAAAGGTGTATTAGTAACATTGTATGTGAATTGAGTAGATGCAATAATGAAATTAGAACCATCAGTAACACTCACAGATACTTCACTATTACTAATAGCAGTTGTAGGTGGTACAATACATGTTATAAAAGAAAAATTAGACATTATAAGATCGGTACATAAGTTATTATCAATAGTAACTATTGATGTTGATGAAAATCCTGATCCTGTCAATGTCATTGTGTAGCCTCCGCCTAGATTTAAGAAAGATAAAAAGTAGATTTTTAGTTATCGAGACATATTAACTGACCTGCTCCTCCTTCTATTGGTGAAATCGAAGTAATTTGAAGTGGTATTGTTACTGTAAGATTCGAAGTACCTGTTGCTAAACCTTTATCAACAACATTGACTTGTACAGTATAAATTCCTGATGGAGCATCAATAATTGTACATATTAATGATGTTGTTGTAGCTGATGTTACTGTACATAAACCTTCTGTTCCAATAATAATTTCATTCGAACTTGCTATTGTACTAAAACCCGTACCAATAATTGTCAATGTCATATTATTTTTTTCAATTGATGTTACAGATGGTGTTTGAGTAGTTGACCATTGAAAATCACATGTATTACTACTAGAACATTTGGATAAATAACCACCAACAAAAACTTCTGTCTGAGGATTTGTATGATATGTTCGTGTCATATCTCCTGGTAATGGTTTATAAAGAATTCCACCTGATTGTATGACAAATGCTGTAACTGTTGTACCAATTGGTGAGGTAGAATCAATATTCGCAATTGTAATAGGTATTTTTTTACCACCATTAGTTAACCATTCAATTCTATATGAATATCCTGTACAATCACGTGAACGTGTTATACTTAAAAAACCAAAATCGGATGACGATTGGAGACGATTAGTTAAATCTAATGTTGAAATATCAACTGGAATTGATGAATATGTTTGTCCATTAAAGATAAGATCAAATGTACCAGTTACAGGACTAGATGCTGGTGTTATTCGTGATATTATTGCATTCTAAAAAAGAATGGATAAAAATAAGTAAAAAATATATATAAACAAAAAAAAACTAGCCGAATTTGGCCAAGCAACCAAAAGTGATGGATTTGTACAATCACTATATCGAAAATTAACATTAATTGTCGAATTATTTGGTGTATATTGAACTTTTAATGTATTATAAACTAATTGATGTTTTGGATAAAGTCTTCTTACACCTTCTATAGCTGAACTAAAACATGAATATGTTTGATTTAAATTATCAGCACAAATAGGTAGATTATTTTCATTTAATGTACATGTTGAATAACTTTTTTCATTATAATAAAATGGAAAAATACATGATGAATTTAATGATCGAACATTTGGATAAGAATTTATATTATCATATCCATAGGGTAATGTTGTACGTATTGATACTGTATCAATAATAATACCTTTTTTAATATTACGATTCAGTACTGCATAAGTAATTATAATTGATGAAATAGATGAAGTAATTGCTGATTGAGATATAAGTTTTGCACGTATATCAAGACATGTATAATGCCAATTATGATCAGCTATTGTTGTAAATGGAATGTCTTGCCAAATGGTTTGTATTGTATCACCCAGAATTTGTACACTTGTACTAATAGAGGTAACATAATTATTAAGTAAACGATAAGCAAAACATAAATAATTTCCTGAACGAGTATTTCCATTAACTAATACATTACCAACATATGAACATTGACCACAAAATGCATTGATTGTTATTGGTGTATTATCATAAATACAATTTGTTTCATAATCTTGTAAATAAACAATTGATGATGTTATTTGTGCATTATTTATTGATGGTGGACAACGTATAGTAAATAAATTATTAAATAATGTTAAAAGATTTGTTTGAGTTATATTAGTATTAATAAAATCAATTGAATTTGTTAATTGATCGTCTAATGAAAAGAATAATTTTGAACCTGAACTAATACCTTGAATAATTTCAGTTATATTTGGTATATTAGATGATGTTGAAATACATGCAAGTAATGGAACATCACCCATTTCAATTGGAAATGTTATAAAATAAAGTGTATTTGTTGCTGAAACTGATACAGATAATGGAAAAATTGATGGTAAATCATTAAGAGCTGTTTGAATAGTAATAGCAGTTGGTCGTCCAGTAAAAATAGCTAGAGGAGAAGAAAAATTTTTTTTTAAAGATTATTCTAATGAGATACTATAAAAATAAAAAATAAACCTGTATAAACACCACGAAAACCAATTTGAAATGTTGAACTATCAACTTCTAATGATTGAACTTCTGATATTCCATTAGTTAAATTAGTTGTGTAAACAATTTGCTAAATACAAAGATTTTTTTTTGTGCACTTTATCAAATACAAAAAAAAACAAAAAAAATTTTGTTACTTGACGTTCAGATACAATTGTAGAATTAATATCAATTTGTTGAATTTCATTAAGAACAAAACTTGATGTTTCTGCTGTTAATGTTGTTTCATATATTCGTGCTTGAATTCCTAATCGTAAATAACCATTTACTCGAGAACCAACACAAAATAAATAATAGCTAAAAAACGAATGATTTTAGAATTCTATTGGAAATCATTGTTTAATTAATATATACTTTGTATCATTTTGTAATGCTATTGCATTTGATTGAATATTTCTTGCATCACAAATTTTTACTTTATTAACTGGATTATCATTCGTACTAAGAAATAGAGCTGCCGCACCATTGGTATCCAAAATAAAAGTAAAATTATTTGATTTCGGAACACGTATAAAACCAATAAGCCATACTGTTTCAGATAATGATGAATTTGAAACATATAAAGCATCATCTGTCCATATTTGACTAGCATTATTACTTGGATATGGTGGATTAGTACTTGATAAATTAACCTAAATAAAAACAAGAAGAAAAAAGAACATGAAATAATATTAAATCTGTAATTTTATACCTGATCAATGAGACCCAAATCACGAAAAATATGTAAACCACGACCACCTATAATATTAAGAAGACATCTCTAGTGAATGTACTTAATGCAAGGTATCCGGGTAAAAGTCAACAGGTACTTTTTCGGATATTCTGCTGAGAATTTTCTCAGTACATGAGTATCCGCCCAGTTTGTATAGCATTCTACGAAAAATTTTTGAACAAGTTGGTAGATTGAACAGTGAGAAGCATTATATAGTAAAGTGCTTAAATGTTATAAAGTACACGAAGGTTCCTGTGACACACTCGTAGCAGGTACAGGCGGCAGAGTCACGAGACTTGGATAGGCTCAAACGTTTATTTCTTGTTCCATCAGATTGATAAATTTATGCAATGCATCGAAATTTTTCACCGCCTTCGACGGCAACCAGTAACATTTTTGTAGTAAACCAGACTTAGACAGTGTTCAATTTTGTATGACTAAATATTGGGTCTTACATTGTCAATGACTTGAAGTAGCACTCCTTTGTGAAAAGTGAAGAAGAACTATACCGGAAGCTCGAGTTCGATAAATTAAAAGCTGCCAAAAATTTTCTTCGCCTGTAGTGGCTGAACTTATATGTCTAAGAAATATTTTCAACAAAAAGAAAAAACTCACAATGTAATTTCTTTTTCTTTGTGAACACTATTGTTTCATAGTTATTCTGTTTTTTTCAGTAAAGCGGATCGAAATCACTTCTTTCCATAGTCGAAATTAAATAAAAACAGACGTTGACGTGTTTCTTTAAGTCCATGTGTTTTGACACAAGGTGCGATTTTTTTTCTGAATCGTATCAGCTTTATACAGTCCAATATGTGAGTTGGAAATAAGAAGCATTAACTATATTTCATCTGAATGGCATAAAAAGAGTCGCCTTCCTCTTTCTCGTTCTTAAATTCTCAACGAGAATCTTATAAAGATTGTTGAGTAGAACACGTCGAGTGGATCGAATCCGAATCTTAAATTTTTCTGTTAAGCGAGTCCGAAAATTTTGGATCTGATGGATTCTATTATTAAGCCTACTCTAGATTCAAAAAGTTCCACCATCTATGGTAGTAGGGTATTCTGAATTCAGTACATTCACTAGGATATGTATATAATTCAAAATTTTTATTAACCTTGATATTGATTTTGTATAATCGTTTGTATTGCTGGTGTTTTACATTGAATTATTGTTTGATTTACACTTAAAATTGTACAAGTTTCACTTCCAACTTTAACTATTAATGGATATTGTTGACTATCACTAAAATAATTACCATAAATCGTTAGATTAGTACCACCTTCTGTACTGCCTTGATTTGGTGTTACATGTGAAATAACTTTTTAAAAAAAAATCAATAAACATTTAAATACAATTCAATAGAAATATACAAACCAGCATAGCTTTGAAAAGTATATAAATCACCCGTAGCTGATACACGATAAAGATTTGAATTGACTAGTGAACGACCATATTCATTAGTCACTAACATACTCACATTAAATATTCCTATTAAAATATTCTTTTGACTTTTTTTAAGGAAATAATCATAAAGTACACATACCAACTTCAGTACCCTCAAAATTACATTTAAGACTTGTATCATTTACATTAGCATAGCTTATCAATAGAATAAATATTCACATATAAAAAAAGAAAAGAATTGAAAATAAATACTTACGTATTTCCCGTAACTGGATTAATTACATTACAAAGATGGCCACCCAAATAAATTCTAATATGATTATTTATTGAATAAATAAACAAATTTAATTAATACAAAAAGAAAAAATCCTACCGAGAAATAAGTGGATTATTATCTTGAGCACAACCATCAATATCACGTGAATAACATGCTGTACGAAATAAACCTGATATTGTAATTAATGTTTGTGGTGTTCCAATTTGTGGTTGAATACCAGAAATAATTGGTGTATAACTTAATGATGGTATAAAAGTCGCACGATTTATATCAATATATTGATATAATGGAATTAAATTATTATTAACATAAACTCGAATTTGATAAACACCTTCAGGCATAGCTGGTGTATAACAAGTCAATTGTGTACTTGTTACTTTATCATTATGCATTTCACAATCATAGATAGAATAATCACTAACTAATTGTACTATATTTGTATTTGATATAGATGGTAATAAACTAAAACCATTATCTGCAAATCGATAACCATATATCCATATCATAGTACCACCTTGAATACTACCATCTTTCAAATTTGATGAACCACCTTTTCGAGTTGTAGCATAGTTTATAACTGCATCAGTAGGCACTGAAATTTAAAAAAAGTTCTATTTTCTTAACTAATTACATTTGATAAGTTACCAATACAAAACGACCATATTAATGCAGTATTATTTGAATTAACTGAAATAGCACATTGTGGTCGATAGTTGTTATTATTTGGACCATTGATGGTACAAGTTGTATAAGTTACCTTTTATTATATAAAATATATATATTAACTATCAATAAATTATTTTCACAAGATCTCATTAAAAAAGTTGGTAGTACACTCTGGAGAATTAAAATATGCAATACGATGTAGCTGTTGTTACTATTCACAGAGAGATTGTTTTATTCTATTTATTTTAGGACACATTTCTTCATCATCCTTTTGTATAACAACGTCTGCGGGAGCAGAGTGAGCAGCAACGTGGAGATTTGATGAAAAAATGAAAGTGATATTTTTTGCGATTGGAATAATATCCAATCTAGTTTGATCAATAGTTGACTTTTTGGTTTAAAAAAATTATTCTAGTTCTTTAAGGGTTTGGAAAAATTCCAGGTCCAAAAAATGGTCAAGTTTCTGTCGTTTGAGAGAAAAGTATTTTTTTTTGCTCCAAAGAAAGTAGAAAGACTTGTAGAATCAATCATAGAGGTCTTGCTCTATCGTTCTATATGAGAAAATTTTGTTTTGGAACAAATATGCGTGCTTTCTTAATTAAAGGTTTTCTAAAACATCGTGCTCAGTGTAGTTGGTACGCACGCTTTACCATAGTTCCGAACTCGACGAATCTTTCACAGAATGTTCTTCTCTGTCTGACATATCTACTCATTAAGCATATAGATGTATAAATGCTTCTAGACTCAGATACAAGTTTTCTAAAAAAACCTTAGCTTTTGAAGATTTTCTACGTTCGTTTGTCTCAAAAGTAATTCAAGAGAAAATTAAGGACATATTTGAAATCAGCACAAAAACCTGCATCGATTAATGTGTCATTTATTAATTTTTATAATAAAAATCTTTCCAACAAAAGTTCAGGGTAAGAATCTCCTCAGACGTTTTACATTGAAAATGTTCTTTTACGGATTCCACTTTTTTTTTCTCACCAATCTTTTTATTGAGTACCAAAAATCGAGAGAGAGTTCAAATATCTATCCCTATACGTCAGTACTCCTTTTAGATGGTGTTTCACGAAAACAAAAACCAATCAGTTTTTCATTTAGCTCGAGAATTTCCCGATAATTATTTGACCGATGAGAATATTTACTTCATCTATGCTTTATTTAAGAAGTATCTTTTGATGGAAAACTGATTTAACAAGAATTCGATGAAACTTTTTTTTTTATAAAAAGAGCATTTGTGACTAAATTCTATTGCTTACTCCGCCATAATTAAATGGAAAAATACATGATGAACCACTGACTGTATCCACTATTTAAAAAGAATAAAAATATATCTATAAAAAAAAAAAACTAATTGTTTAACTACCAGGACACATCGTTGGAAGATCGACTGAGTTAGATTCAAAGATCGGATCCCACATGTATGAACATGTTTGACTGTCTACAATAACAAAATAGATCAACTTAAATTAGATAACATTTAGATTAACAAAAAAATATATATACTCATTGATTTAATCATCATCAACCATAATATAATCATAAAGAGAATTTGCTTGGCTTGAACCATTGCAAAAACAATATGTTTTTGTATTTTCATCCTTTTTACTAACAATTTAATGTTACATATTTTATATCCTTTTTCCGTTCGTTTCTCCTAATTAAACGTAATCTTGATTTTTTTCCCGTCTTTTTTTTCAACGTCATTTTGTTTTTTGACAAGACGTCAGAATCGTTCTGAGAGTTCATTTCATTATTTATTACTTTACATTAAAATTAGAAAAAAAAATAATAGTCATGAAAGTTCATTTACCTTTGGAAAAAGAATAATCTTAATTTTTGTACTAAATTTAAGTTGTTACTATTTTTTATAATAGCTGCATAAAATAATATTTAATTTGCATGTTTATAATGAATTCTTTTTTCTAAATCTTATTGAAAAATAATATAGCTTAAATTCAAAGTACATGTTCATAAAACAAGATGTCATATTGTTTCTTTTTAGTACAAAAAAAATCAATGAGTATGCCATGCATTGAGAATTATTTTCAACGTTGATCATATTCATTAAAAAACAATCGGGGAACCAATCATTTTTTCTTTGATTAGCACTTAAGGATCACGCCATCATTTTAAAGAAATATAGAGAATTTCTCAGAAAATAATAAAATATCATTTTCTCTTGAATAAAACGAACAAATGAAGTAGTCAAAAGTAATCTATTTGAGAATTTGTATTTTCTATACGATAGTTCATGTGAGAATGTTTTCATATGAAGTCTTTTCAATACATTTATACATTTTTGTAATGATTTTGGTTGATCAATATTTTATTTAGATAATCTACAAATTATATTGATTATAACCGTTTACTTTTCCTATCGGATCATTTTTGACTCATTCGTAGAAACTATCTATTTTGAATAAAAAGAAAGCATTAGATCGAAATGATTCCCTTGTATTGCATATTGTCTTCAATAAGGTCAATCAGCAAATAGCCACTTTTTCAAATGTTTGAATGTCCATTATCTTCAGAAATGAGTCATTTTTCAAAAAATAATTCATGATGAATAGGTTTCAAGCTTTATATCGATGCAACAACGGTTTAACTGTGACAAAAACGAGAAAAACAATCAAATCAACAATAAATGCAATTTTTATATTATTTGAGATGAATTGGTCATTCATAGTCCATTCTGTATCTCCATAATGAAATGACTTTGCTCAAATCTAAATCATATCAGTGTCATAATTAGCATCTACATCAACTATTCCTGTGACTGGCTCAACATCAACTCTACTGGATTAGTACCTCAAAATAAAGGGTTAATCAATAGTATCATATTGGTTTTTGTATATAATTATCAAACATCTACGCAACCTCTCTATTTACATGATGATCTAAAACGTAGTCGAGTTTTGAATTAATATTAAAGAATACCTGGAGCAGCGTTGAAATTGAGACAAAACGGATTTTTCTCAAGTTCATTTTCAATGATTATGTCAGTCAAGTGTTACTAGTGGCAAGGTCTAAAACTGCTGAAGAAAAATTGCGCAAGACTATACTGATTTGTTATTATCCATTTGTTGATAATTCATACTATTACTTTGGACTGTTGATAATCAATCATTCAAATATTGGATCATCTTCAGTTTTACGTCCTATACGTGTTAATGATATTTTTTCATTGACATTGACAAATGAGTATTTTGTACTCGTTGGCTTGAGTCTATTGAGAACATGTGAGCAATTATATTCAATGTTAGTTTGGATTAAACCAACTTCAGTTAATGATGGTACTATTATTCTATGTATCGAAATGTGGAATGGACTAGTGTTTGCCATTCATTAATCTAATATTTTATATTTTACTAGTGACTCATCTAATTATCGTTATCTTGGTAAATGCCTCTCAACAACATGTGCTCAAACATCTGTTATTATTTTTACAATATAGTATTTTGGAGTTCTGGATGAATATTATCTTTATACAGTAGAATTAACTACAGCTAAGTTAATGCACTTGAGAATCCATAATAATGTAGTATGATTTTGCAAAAAACAAAAAAAAAATAATTAACATTAAATACTATTACATAACTAACTATTTGACCATCAAGATGAATCTGGTCATCGTTCAATGATATATGTTTTCAAAATTCTTCGACCTCTTATCATGCTCTAAATTAAAAGAGAATTTTATTTTGTTTGAATAAAAGACAGAAATTCTCCTAGTGAATGTACTCATTGAGTATGTACGACGTTCCAGCATAAGTACTCGAACAATGTTATGTGGATGTATATTTTTCGTGTAGTCTGTCAAGTATTTTTATATCTTTTCTCACAGAATTATTTAGAGATAACAGAATGAGTACACTATATAGTATTTATCCTTGTTTTTTTCACATGAATATTTAACAGAACACTTATGTATTGACTTGCATGAAAATAGATTTAAGTCGTGCACTCAAAAAAAAAAAGAAAATAGTGTAAGTAAATGAAAAATAGGAAAAACATGTTTCAATGATTTATTTGTCTTTTTTCTATTATTTCATGTAATAAATCATTCATCCTTGTTTTTAATGAATCGTAACTTGAAAATCTAATCTAACAAATATATATGTTCATTGTTTATTTGTTTTATTTTATGACGTAATTTGTATTTGAATAGAAATGAGAACAAGATCTCAACCGAATAATTTCAATTGTCTTTCGTTACGTTTTTAAAAAGATGAAGAATAAAAAAAACACGCAAAGAATAGATTATTAAGAGCTTGTCATTTGTATTATCATGCATGAAAATTAATTAGATTTTGAAATGTTAATTTTATCATAATAGATAATTCCAGTGAAATCAAGAAAAAAAAATTATTTCTCGAATTTTATTTATTAAAATGTATATATTTAAATTTATTTGTTTATTTAATTTTATATTTCTAAATCATTCGCAATCATATACGTAAATATGTTGTTCATGAAAACAATGTTGACATTTATTTTGTTTGAAATTTAATGGAATTACTATAATACAATATTATGTGTAACGACATTTGAAAACATTTGAAGGTTGATCATAAAGTATGATTCAAAAGCAGACACATTCAAAATTGAGAGAATAAAACCAAAAAACAGAAAACTAACTGGTACGTGATATGTGTTGAAATATTTTTTTTGTTTTCTATGATAGAAACAGTTTAGAAAATGAGAGTTCTTTAGTTTTGTTTTATTATTAACATAAGATAATAGAATATGTTATGCTTGTTATTGTCATGCATCTTGTGAAGGTCAAACTAATATTGAAGAAAAATTCTTGACAGGAAATCAAGGAAAGATATATTCTTCTTTACAATGTTCTTCCATCCGGTGTATGCAATCAGAACGGGAAAGCAGAATGATTTCTCTCTCCTAAATTTTTTTCTTTTGCGTTCTGTATTTCTCTCTGGAAATTTTCTGTTGTAGATAGCTAATACTTTTAATAGTTCGGTAGAACAGATTGCCTATGTAAAAACGACGTTCTATTTGCAATTTTTTAAAAGAAAACCAACTATTTTCTCTCAGAGAGAAACTAAATCAGATCATGTTTAGACGAGTAATGTATTAAAAATACAAAAGATAAGACAAATGTTAAAGGTATAGTATGATCGTCAACATATCTAAAATTTATTTGATCGATACTACAGAATATTTTATGCGAAATTCATTTCAATATCTGGACAGCAATCCTTTTACTGAGCATATTTCAACAAAGTAGCACATTAGGTATCCGTTGAACATCTTTTCTTAAAATACATAAAGTTTCAATAATCTCCATAAAATACGGATATAGCGTACATTTTAGGATGAGATGCTTAGAACACTTTCGTAGGGTATCATAGGCAGTGCACGGTCACTTTTTTAGGTAAAGCAATAAAGTTTTAAATGGGTTCATTTTGTTTCCCTACCCTAATAGTGCTGAGTGTGAACGAAGAGAAGAAGAATATCATCTACTCTCACTCATATCAAAATATACAGTACAATCTCTCTATAGTGTACACTCTTCGAACTTTTCAAAGTATTCGTCACAGAAATATATGATAGTGTCCATCATAGAGAGGTTCATTTGCAGCAAAACGTAATAGCAGAGGCTTTCAAAATTGTTTATTATATGAAGATGTCCACTATCATAGGTTTTACTGTATATTAACAACCATGATGACCCACAATAGATAAAACGCCATAGAACTATTAGAAAGAATATTACTTTTTGAAACCTATGAATGTAGACAATGTTTGTGTGTAGTAAAAATATATTTGTTTCCATCGATATGAAATTTCTTTACGAATTTACTGATACAAGAAATAGCGATGAAAGAAAAAAAAAGTTGCTCTGTAGCTTTAGGAAATCTTCTTCCTTAACTCTTCCCATCTCCAAGCAGAACCAAACGAATTCTATACTTCCATCTAAAAGAAACTTATCTTATTACTTAAGAAAAATCGGACTGATGATCTGTCTATGCTTAAAATATATCTGTTCGTAACTTTTGAATATTCTAGTCTATGAAAATAATCGTCATGTTCTTTTCTAATCACTTATTATTTCAATAATGAAAATAATCATACTTGCACAATTCAGGACGAATATTTACAGTCGTCGACATGGTCAGAAATAGTACTATACACTGTCATTTCATATAGTTTGCCGTCGTAAATAGCTGTAAATTAGCGTTAGGTAAGCGAAGTATTACACCTGTATTTTATTGTATCGTACATAGTATATAACAATCTGAAAATCGAGTATCCGATTGTTTACAATACAATGAAATACAGTCGTGACACTACGCCTACCAAATAGCAAAAAAAAACAACCTAAAGCAGTCATTCACAGTAATATTTATTTGACCTGATATACGTTCTTTTGATCTAATTGTCATTACTGTTTCTGTAAAAGACAGTAGTATAGCATCTAATATTGAGAAAAGCCTGAAATTTTTTCTCTGAATCTTTTCTTTTTCAATGAAAGCAATTCTTCGATGTTCGACACTCAAATTCCACAAGTAACCCACTAACAACTTTCATTTTTTTTGTCGTTTAGAAAATGACAACTATAGCAGCAAGCAACAGTTATGAATATATGGATAAAGCATCCATTGATAAAGATCTTTGTTGTGATTATTGTAATAATCCTTTAATTGATCCTGTATCAACACCATGTAAACATACATTTTGTCGTATTTGTATTGAAGATAAATTAAAGAAAACCGGTGGTAGGTGTGGAAAACCAAAATGTAAAAATCAATCAATAACATTAAACAATCTAACACCAGTTACGGAACGTATTGTTTTAAATATGCTTGATCGACTTCTTGTTAAATGTACGATTTGTAATACAATAAATATTCCACGTGGTTCTTTTGAAAAACATATAACAAATGTTTGTCCAAAAATAACAGTTAATTGTACAGCAGTTGATCTTAAATGTCCATGGATTGGACCAAATGAACAATTAAAAGAACATATTTCTATATGTATTTATGAACAAATTCGTCCAATACTTAAGGAAAATATTCAAAATAATCATCAATTAAAAGAACAAATTCAACAAATGTCTGAACAATGTTCAAAAAATCATTTATCATATATTAAAGAATTACAAGAAACAAATCAACGTTTAAATACAAATATTGAACAATTGAATGAAGTATTAAATCATGAAAAAACAAAATTAAAAGATTTACAAATAGAATTTCAACAATTAAAAGAATTAATACTACAAGATAAAACTCAAATTCATGAATTACAAACTGAAATGCAATGTGATAAAAAAGAAATTATACGTGTTAATGAACGTTGTGATAAACAAGAAATTCAAATTAATCAATTAATTGATAAAATTAATGCAAAAGGAGGTAAAAATTAAAATTTCATTTATCTTTTTTTAAACTAGATAGAATACGTCTACCGTTCATCTACCTTGTGATATAAATGGCGTACTGCCTAATGGCAGATTAATAGCCCGATATCTTCTCTAAAACAATGAATAGCTACAGTTCTAGATAGAACGTCAGTCTGACACAGAGTTTATATGCTCGCCATACACATTAACTAACCACAAGAGCAAGTCTATGTCACAACGTAGTTAGCATGCTATCCAATGAGTGATACCAACATTTGAAAGGTTTATAACAAACAATATTTCAGTTCAGAATAGTGAAATATTCACCTATGACGAGTATTCATTAATAGAGATTTCACTGTAATTTATCTATTTCTAGGTGTATTTGCTTATCAAAATCCTCAACTTGAACAAAATATATCAAAATATCAATTACATACAACAATTGATTTATCTAAACAACAATTACTTGATCTTGATATGGAAACTATTATTAAACGTGCTCTAATTGAAAAAGAATGTACAAAACTTGATTTAGGTTCTAATTCAATAACATCCAAAGGTGCATCAGTATTAGCTGATGCTTTAAAATATAATACAACATTAGAAGAATTAGATTTTCATAATAATCGTATATCAGATCTTGGTGTATATTCATTAGCTAAAGTTTTATCAGCAAGTGATTCAATATTAAAAGCTCTTGGTCTTGGATCAAATGGTATAACAGATAATGGTGCTGAATATTTAGCTGAAATGTTAAAAATAAATCGAACAATAACATGGTTAGCATTAGCTGGAAATCAAATAGGTGATTATGGTGTTAAATTATTAGCAAATACACTTGCATATCAAAATACAAGCTTACTTGTATTATCACTTCATGTTAATAAATCAATTAGTGATGTAAGTGTTGATATAATTATTAATATGTTACAACATAATAAATCATTAAAAAAACTTTGGATACAAGATTGTAATATGTCTGAAGATGGAAAATTAAAACTTCGTGATGCAGCAAAGATAAAACAAGGTTTTTCATTGTATATGTAATATATTAGTATTTTTTTTTGTTTTTTTATATTTGTTTTAGTAAAATTTTGAACATATATTTTAATAAAAAGATTATTTATTAAGAAAATAAGAATGATAGAAAGGAGAAGTCTATATCTTTTATTAATAGTAAGTTTACAGTATTTCAAAATAAAATATTTTCAATGTGGAAAAAAAAACATGATGTGAAAATTTTTGTCTAATTTATTTTATAACGATAAACAGTATCAAATTTATTTTTTGAAACACGATTGAAAATGACTGTTGAAGTATAAGAGTGGAAACTTCATATCCTACTCCATCAGCACAGACGTGACAGGCATCTTAACAACCATCCATCTCAGACTGTGAGTAATGTCATTTCTTTCTCATGAAATATGATAGGCATACTCATGACATCAAAGCCAAGTCTATCACCATCGGTAAATATTAACAGTAGGTAGTAATTCACAAACTGAAACATGTATTGGCTGATTCCCTTCTTTATAATGTTAGCAGTTCCATCGTGTTTCATATTTTAACCATCCGGAATTCGCTCTAATAGCTTTTCATTCAGTTAGTTATTATTATTGACTGGCATTACTTAAAATTTTAATATCTATCGATCAGGTTTAATTATGTACTTTATAGAATGTTAGATTCAAACACAAGAAAACATGCGATTTTTGCAGTGAGAAGATTTCTATGTACTATCTCTCAGTTGTTGAGTTAATTCAAAGTCAGCTGTTTGTTATAGTAATCTCACATTAATGTCGAAAAATAAGTCATTAAAATATTACATTTTCAATTCATAATTTCATTTGTAATTTAAAGTTTTATTATTCAAATGAGAAACAAAAATTCATTAATAAGAAATAATAAATGAATATAAAGAAAATTAGTAATATATATTAAACTTAACAATAAAAAACATCTTTGTATGATTCATGTTCATGCCAACTAAAGAAAGTGATTAATTGAGTAAATAGTAACAATCAATATTTAACATAGGCGTGATTGTATTCTAAGATTACTTAAAATTAAAATGACGTGCAATAGTTATTTATCGCAAAGCATTATTCATTGATTCAAAAGTAAATGTCAGGATCAGCATGAATTACATCTAAGTGAATTTGTTTCATTTTTCAAGGTTTAACCGAAGATTCTAATGCATTGTGTATTCCACATGATAGACTATCTATCGCTTTTATATATTCTGAATTAGAAATCTCATTCAGTTCATTATTAGCTTATATTTCTTTTAAACTTGATCGACTTTTTTTGTGTTATTGAGTATATATGCTTCTTTTCTAAATCTCCATATTGTTCATTCATTACCTGTTGGCTTTCAATCAAAGAGGATAATAAAACTAGAGTGTGCGTGATACTTTTCGCTTCATGCACATCCGTACCACACACCTACCCTCAAAGCAGTATACGGATCGAAATAGAAAACGACTTAAGTGTTATGATAAATGCAGAAGTCCCGTAGCATTATCTTTTCGTGTTTGGTTCCAGTCTTACTAATCTTCTCTCTCAGATGAAAAAGTTAAAGATATTGTATACAGGTCATAGAAGATACACATGTAGAGTATCATTGTATTGTCAAGCAGACAATATTCGAAAAGAAACAAAGCTATATACATGTAACGTTGAATCCGTCTAAGTCTTATATATCACATTTTAGATAGCTGACGTTGTTCCACGAAGAAAATAGTCGAATGTGATGCCAGAATGGCAATTCGTAGTTAGAAAAAAAAAGAAAGTAATAACTGAACAAGAGCGTGACCTTGAATATGTATTAAACCTAATTTTAAAAAGCATCTTGGTCGTTTACAAATAGCTTTCTACTAAAACATTTTTTATAAGTTTTTTTCTAAAAAAATTCATGTTAAACTGTTGATGGCTCACTTATTCGACTAAAAAAGTTATGAAAGTTCTACAAAATGTACATTAGCGTTTGAGGTTTAGTACTGTGCTTGCATAACATTAAATGATTCTGCCGAACTACTATTTTGTTAAAGAGTAGATCACCGGATAAAGTTAGAATAAGCAATCCACAACTACTGCACCGTATATCAAAGTTCTCGTGATATTTGCTCCACAGACAGATGCTTCAGTGACATCTACACTGTAAACAATTTCTCTTCAATGTGGAACTTTGTTTAATGTCAGATCAACGAAAAGATCCAATACGAAACATACTGAACTCAAATTTAGATGTTATTCTCAATCTAACATTCCATTTCGTATTTATCCTCATTATAAGCTTCCACCATGTTACGAGAACAAGTATCGCTGAGAAACAAGCATCTAGAGAGCATCTGTCCCTTTTGCAACATTTGCATTACCCACAAGAAAAATGAGAAACGAACAATTATGCTCTTCAGCCGTGTGTGCTCAGCGCAAACTTAACATGATGATACAATCATACCATTGATCTTATCTCAATAACAGGTTAGAATTGCCGATTTTATAGTTGACAAACAGTCTATGTACATTGAAAATTTTCGCCGACAATCTACCACAACAATCATTTGTCGGATAAAAACAAATGTTGAGAATAAGCTTTTCTATGCCAGAGTTAGCTGATTTTTACCTTGAAGAACTGTTTCTTTTTCATTTATTTTATACCATTTTTATAGAATAAAACATTTTATATAGCATATATGAAAATCAGCTTAGAGCATTCTAACGTAGATGTACGACAGCTCATATACTGCCGAAATTGATTTTTGTTCGATAAAAAAATCACTAACTCAGAACAATGTTGGAGAAAATAAAATTGAATCAATACATGAAATATGATATCTAACAGCTGAATTTCTTCTGCTTGCAAAAATCGATCTTTCAGTATATTGTATTAACAATTTTGTTGATTCGCTGTTAAACTAGCTCGTTTGACTTTTCAAAAACAATTTCGATTGATTTTTTCATAGAATTTGATAAGTACTTAACTAGATTCTTACCAGCCCCACCAAATGTGCTACAAATTTGGATTTAGTAGTGTTAGACATCGTTAATTTCGACGAATATGTAAAATTGAAAAAAAGTAAAATTTGAACAGTGTCCCGGTTTCTGACTGGGCTTATGGAAGCTATTCTAATAACACACCAAGTTTTATATGAAAGCAGTGAAAATTTCGAAAATGATTTGTGTAATACGAAAAGTAGATTGTCGAAAAAGTTGAGCAGAGTAGAAAACGATGGATGCCAATGTCAATTAAAGTATTCGAATAAAAGCATAATATCATTAATTTGATTACAGTAATAAAAATTTTAACTTTTATTTCATTTCAACTGTCTAAAAAGAATTCAAAAACATTAATTCTGTCGGTAATCGAAAAATAAAACGTCAACAAAAAAAATCACTCAAACAACAAATTGAAACAAATCAATTCTGAGAATACTCATTTTGACTTAATTAAATTGGATGTACAAAAATCATTTGGAAAATACAAACTGAATTCGATTTACATCGAACATTCTGCAATAATCTATAAATCGAGTTGAGTTAACTTTTTATTCATATACACTGAATCGAACTGATAATCTTTCTGTACTGAACTACCATCCCTACGTAACCATAATACAACAAATTCATAATTATTAATGCCGTCTGTCTAATAGCGCCAAATCGTTGTGAAAGTACTGATTCATGTTCTTACTAAAATAACAAAAATAAGATATTCTTTCATATTTTTGAGATTAAAATGATTCACTTACCATAGTGATTCACTATATTACTCAGTTCTTGCGCAACATTGTTTTCTCGTTCTTTTCTTTACTTTCGTAATCATGAAGAAATGCAAGAGCATTTTTTGACCCTATAAAAACTTCACTTTTTCCTATTGATTTTTTTATCATAGATCAACATGAAGGATAAAGTAAATACAACAAGTGAACAAAACGGTTATTCATCATGTGCAGGTGCTTGTTCCAACACATCGACTGAAACTCTTGTTTCTGTTGGTCCGAAAAATCATTTTGGTGAAATACCAGCAATTCGACTTTTTCTTAATAAATATCATACGTATCCATGTACCTTGGATTGTGATACAGATGATGATGATATTCATTTTCATGCTACAACTATTCTTAATTATATTCGTGATGAATTAAAACATGATATTAATGAAGATTGTATTAAACGAAAATATCATCGACGTACAAAACAAAAATATGTTGAATCACGTGTATCAGATTTAGGTAATGGTATTATGATTAATTTTATTGGGTCATCTTTAGATTCTGATATACATAATAAAAATAATTTAAAAGCTGATTATCATGATAATTATTTTTTAATTGTATCAGAAATTAAAATTTATTATTTACCTGAACATGATTCATTTGTACAAGATTTATCAGATCATTTTTCTCAAATGATTGTTTATTCATCAAAATCATGTACTTTACAAATGGTTTGTCGAAATCAATGTGGTTATTATCTTGATGGAATCCGAATTAAAAAACCTTGTATTACGGATCTTGCTCTTCATTATGGTAATAATTTCCTAGCAACACATGAAAAAATTCTTACAAATTTAAATAAAAAAGAATCAAAAGGCATTGTTCTTTTACATGGTATTCCAGGTTCAGGTAATTATAAACTAAATTTTCCTATTAAAATATTTATTTTTTATATTATTAAATAGGAAAAACACATTATATACGATATTTAATTCAAGAAGTTCAAGATAAAACATTGATTTATGTTTCACCTGAAATGGCAAAAGAAATATCATCACCCGAATTTCTTCCTTTTCTTATGCGATATGAAGATGCAATTCTTATTATTGAAGATGCAGAAAATATTATTCAAGATCGAAATGAATCATTAATACCATCACAAGCTGTTGCTAATCTTCTGAATTTGTAAGTTAACACATTATTATTTTCTAACTTTATTCTTCGATGTTATTGTTTTTTAGATCTGATGGTTTATTAGGCGATGCAATGCATCAACAAATTATAGCTACATTTAATTGTGATTTAACAAAAATTGATCCAGCTCTATTACGTAAAGGACGATTGATTGCTAATTATGAATTTAACAAATTAGATTTAGAAAGTTCTAAGATTTTATCGGATAAATTAGGTTTTGGTACTGAAGGTGTTACTGAACCAATGTCTCTTGCTGAAATCTTTAATCAAGGTGACAAAGATAATAAATCAATAGTTTAGACAATTTGTATATACAGAAATGTAATGGCGGTGCATTAGGGACTAAGGAGAGGTGAACTCCCTTTGGTTAAAAATCTTCGCACCGCTGCTATAGAAATATCAAATGAATACATTTACTCATGATCTCCTGTGATGACACACTGTGTCGTAATCCGTATTATCCATCTTGTGTTTTTTGTGTTTTTTGTGTTTCTTCTGTTACAGGTTTCTCTTGTTCTCATGATCGATGATTTTTATGTTGATTACTCTCATATTAAATATATATACATACGGGGCTAGAAGAAAGACAATAGTTTGAGATTAGAGAGAGTGTTATATGATTGTATGTGTGTAAATTGTATAATTGAATTGAGTGTGAACATTTCAATCATAGAGCATCCGTCTCTATTTTAAATTCATATGCTTCTCTCTAATATTATATATCATGGAAAGAGAATTTATTTTACTTATTAATATTACTTAGCTGACATCGAGCTAGAGGAACGCTCTGCCTATCTCACTTTTCTTTCCCATACAAAACCGATTTCAGATTAGATATATACAAATGGTCTGAAATTTTCAAAATACTTAGGAGTCATAATGGAGAGGTTACACTAAAATTTTCAACCTGATACCATAAAGTTTGAGAGAGATATTTACTAAATAGTGATAAAAAATAGCTCATTTGGCTCAATTTTTTAAGATTCATAATATACTACTGGTTGCCATTATTTTCTTAGCACAAGGTATTCAGTTGTATATAATAAAGAATACATAAAAAGTTGTTAATATCTTATTAACAATGTCATGTCCTATGCCAAATTCAGTTGGATGCTCATAATTTTTCGATGAATTATATTGACAAGAAAAAATGAACCAGTATCCGAGCACATGTAGATATGGAGACTTACATGGCTCATTCTTAGGAAATATTAATGATACAATATAGTCAACAGTCACATAAGATATTATGCACTGCACTATTTTTAACGAACAAAAGTGACATCAGATAATGACTGAATAGGTTTCAGGAGAGTAGGTATCGAACCACTCGTTGTATTTAGATTAAGTGCTTGTGATTTGGCTACAAAATTATAGTCAACTGTGAGATCCTCGTCAAAGTTACAATAATAAATTGGTAATTGACAATTACACAACTCAAATGAAAATTTACCAAAACAAAAAAAGTATGAGATCAAATAAACACTTTTAGAAAAATGAATTTCAATAGTTTGATGTTCGGGATGAACAATAGACGTTTGCTTTTGGGAATTATCCAAAGGTTCGGTCGAGTTCATGTTCAGATATTTCTGAACAATATCAAGGTTTTTTGAATGTCTGTAGCTTGTCAATTTTTGAACCATTTATTTCATTATGTGTAGGTGTACCGAAGCTAACCCTGAAGTACTCTTTTTGACTTCTATTTCCTTTTTTATTAATTACCTGAAAATAGCTGCAGCCTAAATCGAGCCCTAATACTTTTTTTCGCTTGTTTTTCTAGTTATTACATACCAACGAATATACAAATATTTCGCATTATTTTATTGAAACTGTTTCGTTTTAAGATGATCAATTCTTCTTTTAATTCGTTAATTCTTTATTAAATGTCTACTAATTATACAAAAACTAAATATCAATAATAATATTCGATGGTCACTGAATACCATTTACAAATATTTCATTGTTTGTGTTCGATTTAACTAACAACAGTGTTTTTGCAGTATCAGTATTTGTTCGTAGTATTATTCATCGGTGTCATTATTATTTCATTGTCACTAGAATCAAGAATAGTAACTTTTTGTTTAGATTTGACAATTTTCAAATAATATACAAGAACACCAATGATAAAAAGAGCGAATGGCAAACCAATACCAAATGCAAGGCCAAGAATCAAGGGCAAATCAGATTTTTCTGCTGAATGAAAATAGAACTCGTACTAAATCGAATAATCATACATATAGATATAGAATACTTACTGAGCGTAATTGAACGTATTGTTGTTGTTGACGTTGACGTTGTCTAAAATATACAAAAATCAAATTTTATAATTTCAAATGAAAAACTATTTTTGTTCGATTAAATTTTCAAATCAGTTATTTTATTTGTATATCGAATCAATTAATTTATTTGAATTAATTACATCTAATACTATTGCGCTTATCAAATAGTATAATTTATTATATTATGAAAAGTATATCGAGTACTTACTTACATCGTTGTAATTTCAGTGATTGATACTAATGTTGTTGATATAGTGCTATTAGTTGTGATAATATCTGACATCGTATTCTTTTCTGTACTAGTTCTAATGAAAAAATAGAAGAAAATAGATTGAATATATGTTAATTATATAATAAAAGAACGTACTCGATTGTCGCTATGAATGTCTCATTAATGAAAATCGAATGACTGATATAACAATTTGAAATTGTATTTTATAGAAGAAAGTGATACACATTTTACCTAGTTGATGACGTTACAGTCGTATTTAAAAGCAGTGCAGGAGATATTAAACTCGTCGTTGTTTCATCATTGATGTACGTATGATTAACTGTTGTTGTTGTTGTTGTAAAATCCGTAACCGTAGACAACAATTGCGTAGTAGCCTAAAATTGGTAATTGATTACTATAAATGTCGAAATTCATGAATGTTAGTGAATCATACTGTGGTGTTTGCAGAAGATAATATCAATATGGTTGTATCAGTGTTCTTCGATCTGATTATAAAAAGTAGAATGGTAATACTAATTAAGCACGATAGTCAATACACGTAATCAAATGTTTATTCTATTGTAGAGATGTACAGGGTAAGGTTTTCTCGTATGCTAACTAAGAAAAGGCTTCTTAATCTTACGTTATCCTACAAAGTTTTCATCTCGCTCTTCTCTAATATTACCCTAGTTGGAAGATTCTACAAATGTTATATAGCAAAATAGTATCACGATGGAGATGCGTGGAATGAGCGTCTTTCGTACCATATATCCTCATTGACGAGGGAACCATCTCAGGTGATACATTGCATTTGAGATCAGGTCGTTCTTGTCGGCTGAAATTTTTAACAGATTCTAACAACTTCAAGAGTTGTTTATGGACAAAGTTTTAGATCAAAATTCGCTTCTCTAAAGTTTTTAGAAAAACCGTGCTAAAGCAAAAAAATCTATTGTAACGGTCGTAATTCGAAAATGGCAGCAGCACATGGAAAAGAATTCTTCTAGTTTCAACAGGTCCTACGTAATGATTGAGATCTCATGTCAAACGTGAGGCATCACTTTGAGCAGTTCCCTCGTGCGAAAAATTTTCTATCGATTATTATCAATGATCTATAATTGGTACATCCATCTATTTCAATTCCGAATGAAAGTTTTTGTTAGTTTAGTTTTTCTTTACTTCGAAGTTGTGACATCATATTCGTCAGTTGATAAAGTTGAATCAATTTCTGTTATGCTTATTGACTGATTGGTAATAGTCTAGAAATTAGAATTAGAAAAGATGTGTTGCAATGAAATTCTATTCATACTATATTTGGAATAATTGTTGTATGAGATTCTATGAAGACAAAAAATAAAATAAAATTCAGTAAAACAAAAAAAAAAGAAAGTAATTAAATAATCCATACGACATGAAC